GGCGACTATGTCAAAAGTCTGAATAAATCAAAGAGTGCGCTAAATATAAGTAAATACAAAAATTATTAGTTTAAAATAATGATGTCCGTGATAGAAAAATTTTTATATAAAAGTCCATCCACCATAACAAAGTAATTAAACAGTTCTGAAATCTCGCATAAATCAAACACCATGCAAAAAAAATCCACCACCGAATGAAATGGGTACACTCACCAGAGCTCCATGCTGACCAGATTATAAATCAGCAAAGATAGCGTTTGCTCTGGGAGCGATGATCAGCAGAAGTAATCCAAACTGGGAGCAATATACTGCAAGCAGCCAGTCAGCACAATATGGAATAGCCTTTAACAGCAGGTAGTCATCACGTCTCCATACCATAGATCATGTTTGGGGAATCAAAAAAGGAAATCATGGTGCAGTATGTTTAAAACCAAAATGTTTTATTAAAACGTCAGAAATGCACTCACAAACAGGGTGTCTAGCCGACACCAGCAATGACAGCCTCAAGAAAACAGGGACGAGGCTCGCTTACCTCGCTTTTTTTTTTCTCATATTATCTTTGTAACTTCCCTGTTGGAGGTATTTAGAGTTAGCTGCCATGGATATTTTTTCTTATATGGAGAAACGCCAGATTGATCTGGCTGATATTTTTGATTCCACTGATAAGATTGATGGTATTAATTTACAAGACAACTTCAAATGTTTAAAACACTTATTAGAGAAACAAATTAGGATTTGGTGGGATATTAACACCCTTGAGCTTTATCTTAAAGAGAAAATCACCCAGAAGACTGAGGTGGGATATACCAGCTAATGATGGGTTAGATGATAGGGATCTTATGGATGAATGGTTTAGGTTTTTTAATCATTGTGAGAGTAAACTGCTGGAGCTTATCATTAAGAGGAGACAATTGAAATTAAAGAAATTAGAATCCAAGATCAAAGATTTAAAAGATATTATGTTGCCTCTTAGTGATACTAATGATTATAAAGAAAGATCCAAACTGGTTCAAGATTACATTATGAAAATTGACAAAGATACGAAAAATAAAAAAGTTAAAAAATACAAGAGATTTGGATGATTATAAAAATAATAAAGTATATAAATGGCAAGATAATTTGAAGACTGGTGAATGTGATTCCAAGCAGTCAACTCCTGAAAAGGATCAGCAGAGTGGTGTTAAAACCCCAGTTATATCCAAAAATGTATCTCCTCCTAAACAAAAAGTACAGTTTCAAAATGGGAGGGACCAAAACAATATCCCAGACAGAACATACCCTATGCAAGGGGCTTATTATGAAGGTCGGGGGAGGCCCAGTAGAGGTATTTTTGGCTATAGAAGATCAGGAGGATATAGAGGTAACTGGTCAAGGAGAGGGGGTTTTCAGGAATACTTCCCTGGGCGGGGGGGGGGGGGGGGGGGGTTTCAAGAGCACAACAGAGGATGGAATTTGACCTCAAGGAATTACAGACCCCCAGAGAGGGGATGGAGGGATCAAGAAATGTATGGAATAGGAAGAGATTTAAGAGATATAGAGGGAAGAGAGGGGGCAAGCGAAAAGAAAAGAAAAAGAGAACCATAGGTGATGGCATTTTTAATCTAAGTAATGCTGTTTTGACAGACAAAGAATTAAAAGTTTTAGATTTAGGTTTGAAATATGTACCTAGGAGGAACTTGAAAAAGTTCGATGTTTTCATTGATATTCAAAAATTTGTGAGAAAATTGAATATCAAAAAGTTTTTGACAAAAATGCTAGCATTCAATATCTGCCAAGTATTTATGAACATAGTTCGCTTAGTCCTTAGACAAATGGGAGGAGGAATGCATTTTTGATAAATGGCCAGAAATGTTAATGTATAGGCGATATATCGATGATATTATAATGATTGATTTGGAAAAGTTCAGAAACAGATCTTGACAGATTTACAAAGTGTATTAATGATAATGTTTATGGATTGAAGTTTACAGTTTTTAGTGATCCTGAAACAGCGAATTTTTTTAGATTTAACACTATGTAAACACAATGGACTTATCTTTACCAAAACCTTTTTTAAGGAGGGAGTAGACAAGAATAGCTACATCCCAAAGTCTAGTGGGCATCACCCTAGGTGGTTATTTTCCACTCCGAGAAGTCAATTCACGAGGATCAAAAGAAATTGTAGCACACATACTGATTTTATGGATCAGACTGACGTTTTGATCAATAGATACTTAGAAGAGGGTTACGATAGGCCTTTTTTGGAATTGGAAAGGGAGCTGATTAATAAAAAAGATAGAGATTCTCTTTTATTAAATAGGAAAGAAAAAAGGAATATGGATAATACAGCTTTCATTACTGATTATAATAACCAATACCTAAATATTGAAGCTATTTTTAAAAAATATTGGCCTATTTTGTTGAAAGATGAGACCCTCAAACAAGTTATCCCTTCAAGACCTAAGTTTATCTATAGGAAGAATGGATCGTTGCGTACTACACTAGCACATAATGTCATAGATCCGCCCAAAGAGATTAACCTTTTCCCTAACCTACAAGGCTTTTTTCATTGCAATAAATGTAAGGCATGTAAAACAGTTAAAAGAGATTCGATAATAAAGAGAAAACACTTTCGTTCGGCATCCACGAATAAAGATTATAAGATAGATTCATTGATTTCCTGAAATTCTTCACACGTGGTATATGTGTTAGAATGCCCATGTCATTTTCAGTATGTAGGAAGGACAGGGAGATTATTGAAAACCAGAATAGGTGAACATTTAAATAATATAAAAAAGGGCTATGATAAACATAGTGTTTCCAGACAGTTTAAATTTAAACATAACAGTGATCCTAGTCTGTTGACTTTCTATGGAATAGATAAGGTCAAAAGACATTGGAGAGGTACCGATATGATTAATGAGATCTCCAGAAGGGAAACATTCTGGATATATGAATTAAACTCTTTAAAACCAAACGTTTTGAATATTGACATCGATTTAAACTGTTTTCTGACTAATTTTTGATTGATTTTTTTCTGTACTATAGTTGAATGATACATTCTTTGTTAGAATTAATTTGGTATTAGATATGTAGATGGATTTAATATCCGTTTACAATATCCATTTATAGTTTTTTCACTACCATAGAATATCTGGCTGTTTATTATATTCGACTTTTTTCTCTATCTATGTTATATATTAATAATCTATATATTATTGGTCCACCTATGCATTCGGTATTACTATTAGATATGTAGATGGATTTAATATCTGTTTATTATATCCTTTTTATAGGTTGTTTTAACTTTATAATATCTTACTATATCTGACTAATCGCATCACATATGTATTTGACATTACTATTATGGTATATATATAGATGGATTTTAATATCCTTTTAATATATCCGTTTATAGGTTTTATTACCTTATAATATCTGGTTGTTTGTTACTTTCGCATTCTTTTTAAATTACAACTAGTTTTGGATGTTAAATTGAGATTTGCGATAGATTATTGGCCCTTCAATTAATTCTATGCCATTTTAGATGGATTTAATATTCGTTTATAATATCCTTTTATATGTTGTTTAACTTTATAATATCTTACTCTATCTGACTAATCGCATCGCATATGTATTTGACATTATTATTATGGTATATATATAGATGGATTTTAATATCCGTTTAATATATCCGTTTTATAGGTTTTATTACCTTATAATTGTAGTATATTGTGTGTAATATATATATTGAAGACATTGAAACACATACTGACAGGCCAGTGATAAGACCACTTTACACACCAAAAGGACACCTTACTATGTTAATGTATGCAGGAAGTAATTACCTTCCCTTTGTTGTGTTGGGTTAACCTGTTTTTGGGTAAATATATGGAGAGTCAGGGGAAGTTTCTAGGTCTAGACACATAAGATCAAACATGCTACTAAAAGTGGCCAATCAGAGTGCTTGCCATTGTACTGAATGGGGAAAATGTGTATATTAACACAGGACACAGAACACAGGATAGAATACATGGGATAGAGCACAGGTCAGGATACATGGGACAGAATACAGGTTGCATGGCAGCTACCTAGGTGCATATTATAGATTGGACATATGCTGGATGGTGTAGTATCTCTATGCTTGATATGAGGTATCTTGAATAGGACTTTGAGAGCTGTTGTTCATTGTAATCTTTACAAATATTCAGCTGGATTTCTGTCATCTGTAACAAATATCTTTATCCGAATAAATGCATCTCTCTGGAAAAGGACTATTGGTTGCTGCGGGAATAGTATATATATAAATACACCCTGGTCATCCGGAGAAGGGCTGGATCTCCATGCTTGATATGAAGCATCATTATAATAAGACAACAATAATATCTGGTTGTTTGTTACTATCACATTCTTTTTAAATTATGACTAGTTTGGGATGTTAAATTAAGATTTGCGATAGATTATTGGCCCTTCAATTAATTTTATGCCATTTTTGGTCTTTTAATGTATTCGATGCTATTACTATAGCTATATTATAGTGATTTTTATATATACATCATTCTTACATGCATTTATTACTATCGTATTTTCCGGCATATAAGGCAACTGGGTATATAAGACGACCTCCTAATTTTCCAGTTAAAACATAGGTTTTGGGCTATACTCATCGTATAAGACTACCCCCCTTCTGAGGCAACACCATTTAACCCCTAGCCTACAGGACACTTATACCCACTTCCCCCCCCCAGGCCAATTTTCAGCTTACAGCGCTGTCACATTTTGAATGACAATTGTGCGGTCATGCAACACTGTACCCAAATAAAATAGGTGGCACTGATGGGCACTGATGAGGAGGCACTGGTAGGAGGCACTGATGGGCATTGACAGGCATCACTGATGGGCACTGAAATGCAGCACTGATACATGGCACTGATACATGGCACTGATACATGGCACTGATGCGCCCTGATAGGCGGCACTGACTGGCACTGATAGGTGGCACTGATTGGCAGCACTGATGGGCATTGACAGGCATCACTGATGGGCACTGAAAGGCAGCACTGATACATGGCACTAATAGGTGGCACTGATTGGCAGCACTGATAGGTGGCACTGACTGGCACTGATGGGTGACACTGAAAGGCAGCTCAGATGGGCACTGATATGTGGCATTGATGTGGCACTGATGGACACTGACAGCTGGCACTGCTGGGGCTACACTGATCATCAGGGCACACTGATCATCAGTGCCCTGATGATCAGTGTACATGTCCCCTCCGTGGAAAGCCGATTACCGGCTCTCCTCTCCTCTCGAGCTGTCAGCGTGACAGCTCGAGAGGAGAGAAATGCCGATAACAGGCATTTCCCTGTTTACATGTGATCAGCTGTGATTAGACACAGCTGATCACATGACCGAGCCGGCTCTTTCCGTGATCGGTGATAGCTGTGTCCGAGGGACACAGCGCATCGCCGGGCATGCGCGGAGAATGGGAGGACTATAAGCCAATCACGGCAAGTGATGTATTATATTAAAAAATACAGAGCCTGCTCGGATTGGCTGTGTCAGAGAGGCGGGCTGATGATGTGTCACAACTTCAGCCAATCCGAGCAGGCTCTGTATTCATTAATAAAATACATCGCTCGCCGTGATTGGCTCAGCGCGGTACACTGTATGTAGCTGAAGCTACCATACAGTATTACCGCACATCTGGCGTATAAGACGACCCCCAATTGTTGGGGTATGTTTTTAAGTAAAAAAAGTCATCTTATACGCCGGAAAATACGGTATATATGGTTTGGCGGATGTATTTTATTATTTAAGCTGCATATTATTATAGTTTATAAATTACATATTAATTATTTATGATTATGTTTACCATTTCATTATTGCTGTATATTTGTGGGTAATTGCCATTTAACATTTATGAAAATTTTTTTTTTATTGTTTTGGGATCGCTCGCTTGCTTGTATTGAATTAATTTTTTTATATGTATTTTATGTGCAATCACTCTTGTGTATCTGCAGAGATCGAGCGGTATTGAGTTACCATAATGCCGTTTCTGATTGGCTGCAATTAGTCTGCAATGCAGACTGAGTGTGTGATATATAGTTGTGTAGAGACGTCTATCATCCATTGAGGACGTCGGATGACAAAACTAGTAGGGCAGGGCTTCTTTTGGATGTGACGTCTGGATGCTCCTCGTAGACTGTCGGCTGTGATATCGCGGTAAGTGAGGCTCGTCCCTGTTTTCTTGAGGCTGTCATTGCTGGTATCGGCTAGACACCCTGTTTGTGAGTGCATTTCTGACGTTTTAATAATACATTTTGGTTTTAAACATACTGCACCATGATTTCCTTTTTTGATTTCCCGAACATGATCTATGGTATGGAGACGTGATGACTACCTGCTGTTAAAGGCTATTCCATATTGTGCTGACTGGCTGCTTGCAGTATATTGCTCCCAGTTTGGATTACTTCTGCTGATCATCGCTCCCAGAGCAAACGCTATCTTTGCTGATTTATAATCTGGTCAGCATGGAGCTCTGGTGAGTGTACCTATTTCATTCAGTGGTGGATTTTGTTTGCACGGTGTTGTTTGATTTATACAAGATTTCAGAACAGTTTAATTACTTTGTTATGTTGGATGGACTTTTATATAAAATTTTTTCTATCACGTACATCATTATTTTAAACTAAAAATTTTTGTATTTACTTATATTTAGCGCACTCTTTGATTTATTCACATTTTTACCTTTTTTTTTTGGTTAGCAGTGCAGCTTTTGTTCTATTTAGTTTGTGGCGCTTTTTTTTTTTTTCCCTCTATTTCTCATATGTCAAAAGTCTGCCAAGGGAAAAAATACAGAAGGGCAAAGGTCAGTTGTCTGGGCTCCAAAGACAGCACATGCCCTGGGGAGAGGGCCACACTTACTAAAAGAAACAACTTGCCCTCTTGGCCTGGGATGGGGTGGGGGCGGCTACATCAAAATTCTAAAAATAATAATAGATCCTCCTGCGCTTAAATGGATCTTCCCTAACCCTAAGCAGCTCACACCAAAAGAAACAACTGGCCCTCTTGGCCTTGGATGAGGGTGGGAGCAGATACTTTAAAACTCTGCCAAGGGAAAAAAGACAGAGGGGCAAAGGTCAGATGTCTGGGCTCCAAAGACAGCACATGCCCTAGAGCAGTGGTTCTCAACCTTCCTAATGCCGTGACCCTTTAATACCGTTCCTCATGTTGTGGTGACCCCCAACCATAAAATTATTTACCCAGTAATTATAATTCATGAGTGTTGTTTTACATCCAATACTGCTGCTTTCAACACAGTAGCTGCTTTTAACAGAGTAGCTGCTTTCAACACAGCAGCTGCTTTCTACACAGTAGCTGCTCTTTACACATCGGAAATATGTGTTTTCTGATGGTCTTAAGGGACCCCTGTGAAAGGGTCGTTCGACCCCCAAAGGGGTCGCGACCCACAGGTTGAGAACCACTGCCCTAGAGGGAGGGCCACACTTACCAAAAGAAACAACTGGCCCTCTTGGCTCAGGATGGGGGTGGGGGTGGCCACATCAAAAGTCTGCCAAGGGAAAAAAGACAGACAGAAGGGCAAAGGTCCGTTATCTGGGCTCCAAAGATAGCACATGCCCTAGGGGGAGGGTCACACTTACCAAAAAAAAAAAACTGGCCCTCGTGGCCTGAGGGGGCGGGGGCGGCTATGTCAAAAGTCTGAATAAATCAAAGAGTGCGCTAAATATAAGTAAATACAAAAATGATTAGTTTAAAATAATGATGTCCGTGATAGAAAAAGTTTAATTACTTTGTTATGGTGGATGGACTTTTATATAAAATTTTGTCTATCACGTACATCATTATTTTAAACTAATTTTTGTATTTAATTATATTTAGCGCACTCTTTGATTTATTCACATTTTTACCTTTTTTTGGTTAGGAGTGCAGCTTTTGTTCTATTTAGTTTGTGGCGCTTTTTTTTTTTTTTTCCTCTATTTCTCATATGTCAAAAGTCTGCCAAGGGAAAAAATACAGAAGGGCAAAGGTCAGTTGTCTGGGCTCCAAAGACAGCACATGCCCTGGGGAGAGGGCCACACTTACTAAAAGAAACAACTTGCCCTCTTGGCCCGGGATGGGGTGGGGGCGGCTACATCAAAATTCTAAAAATAATAATAGATCCTCCTGCGCTTAAATGGACCTTCCCTAGCCCTAAGCAGCTCACACCAAAAGAAACAACTGGCCCTCTTGGTCTTGGATGAGGGTGGGAGCAGATACTTTAAAACTCTGCCGAGGGAAAAAAGACAGAGGGGCAAAGGTCAGATATCTGGGCTCCACAGACAGCACATGCCCTAGAGGGAGGGCCACACTTACCAAAAGAAACAACTGGCCCTCTTGGCTCGGGATGGGGGGGTGGGGGTGGCCACATCAAAAGTCTGCCAAGGGAAAAAAGACAGAAGGGCAAAGGTCAGTTGTCTGTGTTCCAAACACAGCACATGCCCGGGGGGGTCACACTTACCAAAAAAAACAAATGACTCTCTTGGCCTGGGATGAGGTTGAAGTCTTCCTAAATCTGCAATGGAGAAAATGACAAAAGAAGAGAGCAAAGGTCAGGTCTATGGCCTCCAGAGAAAGCCCAGGGCCTGTTTGAGGGGGACCCTGAGGCCAAGTCAAAAATGAGGACACAACCAACATGGGAGGTGATACATTAATAGGTCTAGAGGAAGAAATACTACATTTGGTCAGATAAACAACACATTAGAACCTACGTAAATGTTTTTTTCTCCACTGGCACACTACAGGTGCTGTAGGCAGTTGAAAATGAGCTAAATGAAAAACATACATACAAGAAACAGGATGGGCCAATTAAGTAGAGAAGGATACATTTGTCTACAAGTAATAGTGTGGTATAGCACATTATTTATTAAGATTGTGAAACATGTATTCTCTAACAACATTGTAAGCTTACCTTTAGTGAAGCATAGGTGCTCTGAGAGAACGATGGATTAGCATGTGCATCCTATTTATAGTAAATTTACCATTGGCCACCATACGTGCGCAATTGCCGGGTGGGTATATACAGTTGTGTTGAAAATAATAGCAATCAGACATCATTAACCTGATCAATCACTGTTTTTGGTAGAAATGATATTTCTACATGGCAAATAATTTACTAGCAGGTGTAGTAGAGTAATAGAAATCCAACAGACCCAACAGTCATGACATACATGCTGCTGATTCTGTGTAATTGAATCACTCATTGAAAGGGGCATGTTCAAAATAATAGCAGTGTGGAGTTCTATTAGTGAGGTCATTCATTCTTTGAAAAACAGGTGGCAATTATTGCTCTTATTGAAGGAAGGAAGGCAGTAAATGTTGTACATGCTGGTTACAGTGCATTTCTCCCTGAAATTCTGAGGAAAATGGGTCGTTCCAGACATTGTTCAGAACAGCGTACCTTGATTAAAAAGTTGATTGGAGAGGGGAAAACATATAAAGAAGTGCAGAAAATGATAGGATGCTCAGCTAAAATGATCGCAAGTGCTTTAAAATGGCAACCAAAACCTGAAAGACGTGGAAGAAAGCAAAAAACTACCATTTCGAATGGATAGAAGAATAGCCAAAATGGCAAGGACTCAGCCAACAATCAGCTCCAGGAAGATCAAAGAAGGTCTAAAGTTACCTGTGAGTACTGTTACAATTAGAAGATGCCTATGTGAAGGCAAGCTATCTGCAAGAAGCCCCCACAAAGTCTCACTGTTGAAAAAAAGACGTGCTGAAGAGGTTACGATTTGCCAAAGAGCACATTGACTGGCCTAAAGAGAAATGGCGTAACATTTTGTGGACTGATGAAAGTAAGATTGTTCTTTTTGGGTCTAGTGGCCGGAGACAGTTTGTCAGATGACCCCCAAACACTGGATTCAAGCCACAGTACACTGTGAAGACAGTGAAGCATGGTTGCACAAGCATCATGATATGGGGATGTTTCTCATACTACGGTGTTGGGCCCACTTATCGCATACCAGGAATCATGGATCAGTTTGAATACATCAGAATACTTGAAGAGGTCATGCTGCCTTATGCTGAAGAGGAAATGACCTTGAAATGGGTGTTTCAACAAGACAACGACCCCAAACACACCAGTAAATGTGCAACATCTTGGTTCCAGACCAACAAGATTGACGTTATGGAGTGGCCAGCCCAATCCCCAGATCTTAATCCAATAGAAAACTTGTGGGGTGACATAAAAAATGCAGTTTCTGAGGCAAAACCAAGAAATAGAGAAGAACTGTGGAATGTAGTCCAATCATCCTGGGCTGGAATACCTGTTCCCATGTGCCAGAAGATGGTTGACTACATGCAACACAGATGTACAGCAGTTCTCAGAAACAGTGCTTATACAACTAAATATTCATTAAGTGATTCAAAGGAAAGCAAAATCTTCAAACATTTTTCAGT